TCAGGTTATCATCCACAGTCAAACAGTCAAACTGAAAGAATGAACCAGCAGCTTGAATCTACTCTTCGTTGTCTAACCTCCAATAACCCCACCGACTGGAGCCAATATCTCACATGGATTGAATACGCCCACAACTCTCTCAAGTCAGCTTCCACCGGCCAGTCACCATTTCAGGTTAGTCTTGGTTATCAACCTCCTCTTTTTCCTGCAGACGAGAGAGAGATTTCGGTTCAATCAGTCAACCATCACATCCGCCGATGTCAACGCATCTGGAGAGACACCATCGCTACACTCAACCGCTCCACGGAAACAACCAAACGCTTCGCTGATTCAAGGAGACGTCCCGCCCCAGAGTACACCGTTGGTCAGGAGGTATGGCTCTCCACTCCAAGTTATCTCCTAGATACATTGGTCCATATAAGATTGCCCAGGTGATTAATCCGTCAGCCATACGCCTGCAACTTCCCCCGACTCTTCGCATCCATCCCACGTTCCACGTCTCCCAAGTCAAGCCTGTAATCTCTAGTCCTTTGTGCCCTCCATCCGACTCCCCTCCAACCGCCCTGGAAGTCGATGGACATCCTGCCTTCACCGTCCGCCGGATCGTGGACTCCCGTCGGCGAGGTCGCGGTTGGCAGTACCTTGTCGATTGGGAGGGCTACGGTCCGGAGGATCGCCAGTGGGTTCCTGGCTCCTACATCCTCAACCCATCTCTGATCGAGGAGTATGAGCGCTCCCTCCCGTCGACGTCTTCTGGACCGCCAAGAGGCGGTCATTGAGAGGGGGGTACTGTTGGGATCTGGAGAAGTTCCACCTTTCTCCAGCAGAGTTCGCCGTGGATCCTCCTGAGCTGAGCCTTCGACACACCTGAGGCGCATCTCATCATCAAGAGGATCCTCCAGTATATAACGGGCCTTCAGACCTTGCCTCAACGCCGCAGTGTTTATCCAGTTTGGTTAGCACCTGAGCCTAGCATCTTCTGAGAACCTTTGTTGCTTCTGTTCCCTGGTTGGATTCTAATCCCTCTTGTCTCTGCTTACAGGAATCCAGTTTTCCTTGTAAGCTCTGGATGAGCTTAACCTGCCGAGCCTGCCCTCTGAGCCAAACCTGAAGACTCTTCTCTGGATTCTCATGCTGCTCTGGACTAAGAGCTGGAAACCCAAAGCTAAGGTCTGCCCTCACGCTAGAAGCAAGACGCTGAAGCGGTTACTGAACTCTGCTGAACTAAACAATATCTGGACCCAACAGTTCCTCTCTCAAAGCCAAACCCGGACTCCTCAAGGTATGAATCCGAAATTCTCAGATCCAACTCATCTGCTCACAAGCTAACTAAACTGTCATCCTCACAGACGCCAGTGAACCTGCCCCCCGGCCTGAACCAGTTCTTGTGTTATTCCATGTGCTTGTGTTCAATAAAACTTGTTAAACTTTTCACATGTTTCCGTGGTGTTCTGCATACTGGGCTTTTCTGAAACCCATCATGACAGTATCGTGGTGTATTCTTAAGTATAGAAAATAATCGAATCGTTGGGTCAGGAAATCGATATCGAATCGCCATGATGGGTGTGATTTACACCCCTAATATATATCTTTATA